CTGGCTAATTTTTAAAAATTTTTTTGTAGAGATGGAGGTCTCGCTCTGTTGGTCAGGCTTTCAAACTCCTGGCCTCAACCAATCTCCCACCGTCTTGCCTCAGAAAAGTGCTGGGATTATAGGCTGACACCACCTGATGCCTGGCCACATGTAGCATTTATCCAGATGTCTTGTATGTTTTTTGGTTAGAATAGTTGATTCATTTACTGCATAGGCAAAATCTAAGTCTAGCAAGAGTCAGATAAATTTAGAACTGAGCACCAGTCCTCATGTAACTGCTTTTATTTTTCAAACTATCCCATACTGAAAGCATTAAAAAAAGTGATATTATATATCAAATTCATTTCATGGGCAGAACTTAGGGATCAGGATGGGAAAAGGGGCACTCGAATGGCTTACATCCTAAGAAAAAGGTGACACAGTTGACAACTGGGAAAGGGCCTCCCAGTGTGCAGGAAGCATGGTGCAAGAGGGGTGCTTTCTGCTGAACAGGGAGAGAACGGCAGGGGCGGATGGCCAGGGTTTATAGGGTCTCGGGAAGAGCGGATTTTATTGTGAGTACACTGGGGGCCATTTATGTGAGTACATGGGAGGTTTAGATAAGGGAGGGATGTAAAACTGATTTATATTTTTAAATCCCACATGTAAGAAATATTAATAGCTTCAACAGTGCTATCAGAATGGAGAAATTCTTTAGCAAGCAGGCCATACCGAGCACACATCACCAGGACTCGGGGATGGGGAAATCACAGCCACTGTGAGATCCCATTTTGCTCCCATCAGATTGGTGAAAACCATCATAATTAACAGTTTCCTCCTACCCAGGGTTGGGAATGATATGGATGGGTAGAAACTCTCATAGGATGCTAGTGGGAGATGGATATTGGCACAATCACTTGGAGAACAATTTGAGAAGAGATAGCAAAGTGAAAGGTTGTTTCCACCTGTCCCGGCCCGCGGGACCTTTTGTTACTCGCGGGGGGGAGCAGAGGGGGACCGTGGCCTGAACAGAGGATGGAGCGGAGAGAAGAAACGAGACAAAGCAAATGGTTGTCCAAGGTCTGGCATTTTACTTAGATTCCTTAGTAGGTTTTATAAGGCAACGAACCAAAGGAGAAGTTAGAACAAAAAAGATAGGAGTGGGGCGATGATGAGGGCATTGCGGTCCTGTGTTAATTAGCCCACAATCAGGCATCTTATCGGTATCCTATTCTTGAACTGGTTACTCATCTCTCCAACCTGGCAGGTGGTCGGGAACAATTGCAGGTAGCATGCCCTGGAGCAAGCACGTCAGGGAATGCATTCTTCTCGGAGCTATAGCTGGAATTTTCCAGGGTGAAGTCTGTGCGTAGGACGAGTCATAGGGGAGTTGAGGGTCTTTGAGGGTCCTTGCCTCTGACATCCACCTACTAAAGAAACCTCATAAAAGTTTATTTCAGCTTCGTTCATACTGCTGCAAAATTTCGAAAACTCAAAGCACATCAGCAGGAGAAAGGGCAAATAAATACTAGCACATCTACGAGGTGAAGTACCAAACAGTGATATAAACAAGTGCAATGTGTCAGCGTGTGCAAATTACAAAAGCATAGAACCACATGTACTCACCAGCAAACTGGTATTAACGGAGCAGCACCTAAGTGGACACATAGGAACTACAGTAATAGGGTATTGGGCAGGTGGTTGGGGGTGGGTATATACATACATAATGAGTGAGATGTGCACCGTCTAGGGGATGGGCATGCTGGAGACTCAGACTTGTGGGGGGAGGGGGGAAATGGGCGTTTATTGAAACCTTAAAATCTGTACCCCCATCATATGCCGAAATAAAAAAAAATTACATATAAAAAAATTACAAAAGCATAATGTTGAATGAAAAATAGTCACATTGCAGAAAGACGTTCTGTAGAATACAGGGACAGCGATGCATGCTGCAGAGAACAGAGAGATGCAAAGATGTTGAACACCGAATGTGAGAGAGCTATCCTTTGGGAAGTAGAGAGAAATGCAGCTGCTACGGAGTCCAGAAGGGCTTCAGCATCAATTGGTTAATTAACATTACTCCACTGTTCTTTTTATTCTCTCTGTTGTTTTACTTACTTTTGGAAAGGCAAGCCGTTGCATTGGAATGTGTGTCATTTAGAAAAGAGCACTAATCATGTATGTAAATTCGTTTACTTTTGGAAAGGCAAGCCGTTGCATTGGAGTGTGTGTCATTTAGAACAGAACGCTAATCATGTATGTAAATCTCAAGGAATTCCAAGAAGTGAACACATCAAATCACCTGTACCCAGATCAAGAATGAGAACCTTCCAGGGCCACTGCACCACCCCCGACCCCAGGCACTGCCCATTCTGCTCCCAGTGGTGGTCACTGTCCCGACTGTTGCTGCCATCTCTTAGTTTTGCCTGTTCTTGAACTGCCTGTAAGTGCCGCTGTACATAAGCATGGAGTGCTGTTTGCATCTGATTTCTTTCACACCACATGTGTTTTTAAGGTTCGTCCATGTGGCTATGATCTTTATTTCACACACCTTTGTTGCACATATGTATGCAACTCTACTGCATAGATTCCCAGGAGTGGAATTGCAGGGATGTGGGCTTTGTGGATGTTCAGCTTTTGTAGGTATTGCAAAAGTTTTCTAAAGAAGTTTAAAGAATTGCAGGTCTCCTTCCCTCCCCACAGCACTGTTTGGGAACTCTTTGTGACTCAGAGCCTGGTCAGCAGTTCACATGGCCAAGCTTTAATATTTAACTCTTCTAGCATTTCCACTTGTTCCTGGTGGGTAAACTGGTCAGTTAAAAATCCAGTTTGCCATATCCGAACCCAGAACTTCTACTCTTTTCTTGAAATAACATTTTTCTCTGTACCCGGTTGTTTGTCTGAAATACTCCACCAGGAAATATCATCTCCAATGCATGTAGAGAATGAAGTGTATAGTGTGGGGGAGATCAGAGAATGAAAACAGGAACAATCAGCTAGAAAGTTGCGGCTGCAGTCTGAGGTCTAATGGCCAGCAGGTGGTTTTATCATCGGGAAGGTAGTGGGGACGGCAAGATAATTATTTCAACCTTGTCACGTTATAAGAAATCCTAGAAAGAGCTGAGAAGGATAAGATGTTTTGTTTCTCTGTGGGATGCCTTTGCCTGGCTGATGTTTTGCTCTGTCGTCAGTATGCCCAGTGTTATCCTATTTGATATCTTTTTTGATACAGTCCCCTTTATTTCAAGGGGAAAAACTAAACGGGGTGCGATTGGCTGAGGCACGTTATTTCCTAGGTTGCCCACAAATCCTGAAGCAGCATGAGCCTCTGGGGGGAGGCAGGAACTTAGGCTCTCTGTTTTCTAATCTGCGAAATGGGGATATTCATGATCTCTTCCCTGCCTACTCCCGAGACTGGTGATGAACATCCAATGATTGGATGCATGTGGAAGTGCTCTGAAAACAGCAAATCGCTATTAAAATATAAAGCATCAGTGTATAAGCTGTGTAAAATGTGTTGGCAGATTGCATTTGATTTAAACTGATGTGGTTTCCTTGACGGCAGAATTGGAAAATGCTAAACACTGCAAAGAGTCTGAAATTGATGGCCAAAGGGTATGATTATTTAAAATGAGCCGCAGTGTTGTCATCCAGAGCACTCTATAAAAACAGGTCCCTAATTCTTCCCTTGATTTCTCTTCTTTGTGTCCGTGAATTGTCTGCAATTTAGTTCTTTAAAGAGATACTGTATCACTTTGTTAGATGAAAAGAAAAGAGCAGTTCTTTGTTGTCTTGGTGGGTTTAAAGATTTTAATGAAATCCATTTTAGACAACACCATCAGCTAGCTGAAAAATACATGAGACGAAGTAATTTTTGATAGTGACTATGCTTAAGGTTGGTGACTTAATAGCCCTTATTATCTTTAAAAATCTATTCTTGCTAATGGTTTTTCTACAATAAAGAAGACTTTTAAAATTAAGATTATATCAGCCTCTGTGTCTGTAGCTGGCTATTTCATTCAGTGAATATTGAGCATGTGCAGAACACAGTGCAAATTGTAGCTTGAAAGAAAAAGGAAGAGAAAACCTGGGCCCACATTTATTGAGCTTCGGGGACAAAATGCACCTGGCAGAGAAGGTAGAAGGCGAGTTTGTGAGTAATGAGAGTCAGGTGAGTAAAGCACAGGAAGGTGTCCCGGCAGAATTCGTAAGAGCCGGCAGCTACAGCAGCTGGACCTGACGTTCCCAGAGCACGCTGTTGGAGGCAGACTTGGGCTTTGAAGCCTGGGTGGTACAAGGATGACTAACTCCCAGGTGAATTTCTTACCTTTGTCCTTTTCAGTACTGTCTGTATCAGTTATAACCTGTGTCCAATACGAATTAGATATTGGCTAATAATAGCAGTGTGATAAAGTATTTTTTTAAGCACTTGCCTGTATTTGCAACAACTATGGAAGGAAAACAAAGGTTGCACGATTTCCATTTTGCAGATGAGTAAGTGAATTTTGCCTCTTTCCACAAAGCAAGTGGGGTCCGAAGGCCAAACAATGCACAGCTGGGACAGCACAGTGAATTTACTACGCAGACAGCACTGTGTCCTTCCCACTGTGGAAAGTAATTCCAGTCTAAAACGATCAAGAATTTTAGGACTTCAAAGAATTGAAGGTGGTAAATCGGAAAATATAGATGAGGAGGGGGCCATGGGTACCTCCTTAGGTTGGGATGTTTATAATTATATAAATATATAAATATTTGTGCTAGGTGATAGCCCTTTGATATTGGGTCTGAAATTTTGGGTTTAGTCACCTCAAATTGAAATATGACGAGAGCAGGGCAAATGTAGAATAAACTATGTCAAAAAGTGAAGTAGCTTTCATTCATTCATTCACCCGCCCATTCATTCACATTTCCAAAGGACATTTATTGCATACGTATTATGTGCCAGACACACTGGACTAAAAGAAGATGTTCCACTCAAGGAATTAATTATTTAAACGGAGGAGACAAAAGCTGCCATACTTGTAAAAAATTAGCGCTAATTTACAAGAGGAGTTCTTCAACAGAGTCACACATAAAGGGACTCCAGAGCACAGGGGAGGACACAGTGAATTCTGCTTGGGGGCTTCCCAGGACCTGGGGTCTGAAGGGAGAGGAGATTTTGCTGGCTGAGAAGGTCACTCTCTCCGGAGGGAGAGGTACGAAGACAGGCCCAGTATAGACTGGGAAGCGGGTTCTTACTAGGAGACCGAACAGGTTCTGCAGGTCATAGAAGCCATTGGGCATTTTAAATAAAGGGCTGCTTTGATTTTTACTTATGGTTATGATTTTGTTTCCCCTCCCCAAAGCATTTTTGAATATAATAGCCTGCAGACAGAGTGAGTGAGGCGCCCGGGGAGGGTTTATCCGTCTCCCTGCCTGATCAGAGCTGGAGAGCTGGGAAGGACAAGGGGACGTCCAGCCCACGGTGCCCAGTTTGAAAACAGTGTAGGAACTGAAGTGGGCTTGCCAGGGTTTTATGGGGCCCAGGCCCAGCCTCAAATACAAATGGACTTCCAGAAAGATCTACCACCTCTGCAGAGAGGAAGGGGTCTTGCAAGGCCAGCAGAAGCTCATAACCGATGGCAGCTTTAACTGGACTCGTGTAACTGAGTGAAGAGCCCCCTGCATGAGTACTGCTGTTGATTTTAATTTTTTTCAATAGTTTATAATTTTTTTTTCATTTTGTAAAATGTTATTATTATTATTTTTTTTTGAGACAGAGTCTCGCTTTGTTGCCCAGGCTAGAGTGAGTGCCATGGCGTCAGCCTAGCTCACAGCAACCTCAAACTCTTGGGTTCAAGCAATCCTCCTGCCTCAGCCTCCCGAGTAGCTGGGACTACAGGCATGCGCCATCATGCCCGGCTAATTTTTTCTATATATATTAGTTGGCCAATTAATTTGTTTCTATTTATAGTAGAGACGGGGTCTCGCTCTTGCTCAGGGTGGTTTCGAACTCCTGACCTTGAGCAATCCGCCCGCCTCGGCCTCCCAGAGTGCTAGGATTACAGGCGTGAGCCACCGCACCTGGCCTTGTAAAATGTCATTTTATTCCACGCACACAGTAGTAGGAAAACTCCCACAGAGCCAGCCCTGGAACGGCGTTGTCCACAGCTGAGTTTCAGATGCTGCCGTGACTTCACCTGGGGACCCCCCTGCTCCTCTTCTTCGCAGGTACTGGCACAGCACGGCCACCTACGCCATAGCCACCGAGGTGAGCGGTGGGGTGCCGCACCTGCCGCCGGCCGGCCACCCTGTGTACCAGTGGCCCGGGGACCTGCTCAGGCCTGACCTTGTCCTGCTGCTCACCGTGGGCCCCGAGGAGAGAGCGCGGAGGCTGCGGGGCCGGGGCGTGGAGAAGACCAGAGAGGAGGCAGAACTGGAGGCCAACAGCGTATTTCGTCAAAAGTAGGTGTCCCCCGCGTGGCGTGAGTGGCAGAGCAGGTGGCCCTGCAGGGAGGGCATCCCTGGCCTTGAGTTAGGAGTGTGAGGAAGTGATGTCGTTCCCAGTTTTCAAATGCAGGAGGTGATATCCTCCTCTAAGTTATTTCAGCTCCGTATGATGGGCCTGTCACGACAGAGCTACAGCATTATTGTTAAAGTGACGGCTGTCCCACTGGGGGTCACACCTGGCTGTGCCAGGAATAGCGTGCACCTGGGTAAGACATTAAGGATCCCCGCACCTCGGTTTCTCCAGTCACAATCTGATGGGCACAGCCTACTGGGTAACGAGCACAGTAACTTGTACCTGCTCGGTGATTCCCGTGTGCCAGGCATCATTTTACTTAGGATGTTGTGTAACCTTACAACACCCTTGCAAGAAAAACATCAGCCATATTTTACAGTTTGCAAAACTCAGGCTCAGGAGATTAAGTAATTCTTCTAAATGTACGTAGCTGTTAAGTAGTAAAACTGGGACTCAGGTCACGGTCTTTCTGAGTTTGGAGACATCGTGTTTGTTTGAATTAGAAAGCTTTGAGCAGGACAGCGGAAGAGGGTCTCATCGGTCTTCCTGCTTCGTGGCTAAGTAAGAGTCCGTTCTACAGCACTGGTTTAAAGACTAAACCAGGAATGTTTTATGTAACTAAGCAATGCTGGCGTTGCTGCTGTAGCATAGTAATGTTATAATATAAATGATAATAGTAATTGCTGTGTGAAAAGATACTATATTAAACAATTTATTTGTATTAATTCATTTAAACATCATTGCAAACTTGCACGATATTATTCCGTTTCTCATTTTATGGAGGAGAAAACTGAGGCAAAGAGAGGATAAGAACTTGACAGGTTCACTTAGCTACAGAGCGGGAAGGCAGAGTTACCTGCACAAACCCTGCAGCTCCTGGCCTGTTCTAACCACGGTGCTCTGGCTCTCCGTGAGGGAACAGCCCTGGGCGCCCCGTGTATACAGCAGGGCTAGTGACCTGGAAAGGAGAGATGGAGATTCTGGTGAGACATTAGAGCACTCGGCAGTGTACACAGCGTATATGCTAAGGACTCCGGCTTCTGTGAAAATCATTGAGGGCACAGACTGGGGAGAAAGTCGCCACTGAACAGATTACTCAAACTCTTTGAGCCTCCGCTGCTGTCCCTGCAGAATAGGAGTGACAACGGTTCCCATTCTGAGGTTACTCTGAGTATTAAATGAGAAAAATCCATCAGATCAGAGGTATCTAACAAATGCTATATATTCGATGTTATTATTAATTTATCATTTATTAAACGAAATGCACTGACATCTGCGGGCAGAGCTCGTTGCGATGGGATAAATGGATGGGAGCTTGCTTCAGGCAGTTTGCGTCATGGTGACAAAGTCACCTTAGCAGGAAGAGCTGCATTAACACCTGGACTCTTTTCATTCTGCCTGTCCCCAGGGTGGAAGTGTCCTACAGGAGGATGGAGAATCCGGGCTGCCATGTGGTTGACGCCAGCCCCTCCAGGGAAGAGGTCCTGAGGAAGGTTTTGAGCCTAATCCAAAATAATTGTAAACATGTGCCGGGTGCCCCGTCTTGCTAGATTAGATGTTTGAGACATCTACGCCCGCTATTTGTGATGCAGTTTTCCCGGATTTCTGTTGCACGAGCATAGTGTGTGGCAGGACATTGGAAACAAGGCGGTTTAATTTTACTCCAGCCCCCGTGCTCTCTTCCGGCTGGCGGGCCCACCGCGCTTGAGATGGCGGCCGCGTTCCAACGAGAGCTGGCGACCGCTTCCTGCCCCGTATACCCAACATTTTCTTGGAACATACTCGCCATACTCCATCACTACCAACTCTCGGCAAGGCTTGCCTCATCCAGAAGGCGTCAGCTACGCAGAAGCAGCCGGGGAGATCTGCCAATCAGCGGGGAGCCCCGCGGCCTCTCCTGGTCCCCGACTGGGGCACGGACGCTGCCGTGACGGCCGTGCCCAGAGTCGACTGCTTCCAAATCGGGTTGCGCTTCATCACGACGGTCTCACGTAGCCCCCAGTCCTAGAGCCAGGTGTCCCCACAGAGCCTGTCTCTGTGCCCTGGCTGTCCAAGGACACTCCTGCGGGGCCACCTGTGGGCAAGGGACAGTGACGAAGAAGGCATCGATCTCGTGTCTGAGACCCAGAGCCTCCTAGCCAGTCCTCTGGGTTTGTGCTGCCGAGTCAGATTTCGAGACACTCGAGCCAACACGCTCTAACTACAAACACACCAAACTCTCTGCGCTATATTCTGCTTATTCATCTTTCTTTTCTTTCCTCTGGCCACAAAGAGCATTTTGCACTGAGCTGTACACATCTCCCTCGGCCCATCCAGCAGCTTATTTATATTGATCTTTGCGTCATGAGTTCCCTCAGTGTGGAGTCACGAATTAAAATCGGAGCCAAGAAGCTGAATGCAATACTTGTTGTGTATTTTCGTGACACAGATTTATCTTGCTTGATAAGCACAGTGGATCCTGGAATGGGATTCCTTAGTAAATTATCTTTCACGCGACTGTCTTACGATTCCAGAAAAGAAATCAGCTTTGAGATCTGTGTGGATAGAAAAGCCTGGCTGAGAAAAAGGGAAATCTAATAGCTTTGGCCTTAGGGAGCTGGTTGAGCCAGGTGATTACCTAAAATTCCTTCCAGTTCTAAGATGGATGCATCTGTATATTATTTTTATCCTGCTTACCATTTCTTAAGAAGACATTACCCTAAAATAATTGAATTTAAGGCCTTATCATGTTTACCATATAGAATCTTAAATTAGAATAAAGTTTGTTATTAGCATCATAGTATTCTAAAAGAACTATAGGTAATTCTTACATAATGTGTCTATGTATACAAACATGTAATGGGTTTCAGTTGAAAATATTTTTAAAGCTGACCGATAGCATTAAGATTCTTTGCAATGTGGGATCTGATTATATTGTTGGTTTTATTTACTTTAAACACTTTGAAAGGCTTATCCTGGCAGCCTAGAAAAACAAGCATTTAATGCTCTTCTTTATGCCCCTTGCACGTGAATAAACTTGCTGTGGTTTTCTAATCCACTGTTCTGCTGAGTGCATATCGATTCATCTGGAAAGGGTCCTTCCGGGTTCTCTTTTCAGCATTGTGTTATCTGGGGGGAAAGTTTTAGTCAAGGAAGTCCATAGGTGTGAGCTGGCAGGCTAAGTGGCATTTGTGGTCAATGTGCTTACAGCAAAAGGGGTGGGCGATCATTTTGTTTTAAACATTGTTTCCTCATGACCATATATTAATGGGAATTCTATGATACATTCTTTGTACACCTGAGCTTTTCATGCGGGGAAAGGTGTATGGTTTGTGAGTATGAGATGAGGCAGTGTTTTATAATAGAAATAATTCTTTCTACAACTGGGCTCTTTACACACGGATGGATATATGGTCTGTGAGCATCATTACCAAGTGAGACAGCACCTCCTGCCCCCAAACTGATGGCAAGTGGCATCACTCGCTTGGCTCTGCTCGTTACAAGATTGGTCTGCTTCTGTTCCTGTGATAGACCATTAGTTGCCTAAACACGAATCCTCCCTTTCTTCAGCAGTAGTCGAATGTTTAGCTCGGCACACGGTGTTGAGAGTTCAGACTGGGTTTCCGAGGTTCTGGCTAAGCTCTTGCCAACAGTATGTGAGCAGAAGGGACATTTGAAACATCAAAGGGATATTGTCCCTCTGTCCTTTAACCTCTCATACTGGCTGTGTCTGGAAGTGACAGTGACCCAACTAAGGACCAGGGGATGATGATGACACCAGAGAGAGGGAGAAAAACCAGATGAATAGAGACCAGTACCGGGATGTGGAACACCCCCATTGCAGCCCTGGGGGACCCCTACCTCGGCCTATACATGTGATGAGCATGTTTCCATCTGGTTTAAGCCATTCTTGTTTTGGGTTTCTGATCAATATAATGAGCCTATATTCTTTTATCTTTTGCACTAAGAACCCAGGACACTTCCACTAACATAGGGGACTAAAACTGTTTACAAAGAACCCATGAGATATCGAGTACTATGTTTAATGAAGAAAAATAATGAGGCTCATCAATCATATGCAACTCTTGACTGATTGGATGCTTAGAATTTACCAGGCTGGGTCTTGTGGACTTTTCTTTCTATCTGCCAGACCGGGGTGCCCTAAGAGAAGGAACCCATGACACTTACCTGTGTAAAAACCATTAAAAGCCATAGTACCAAGCACAATGTCAGGTATAAAATTAATGGTCAGTTTATGTTTCTTGTTTAATCCTTAAAGTTATAGCCAAGACATAAGTTATACTAGAGAATTAGAATATCAAATGGACTATTAATTATGAGATATGTACAATAAGATTAACTAGTTTAAAATCTTTTTGCAGTCATATACTACTTTTCATCTCCCTCAGCCAACACGGAGTTCTAATGTCCTAGCTCAGTGGTTCCCCACTCTGGCTGTGCATTAGAATCATCTGTGCAAGGCTGACAACTCTGATGCCATGCAGATCCATTAAATCGGAGTGTTTGGTGTGTGTGTGTGTGTGTGTGTGTGTGTGTGTGTCTGAGTGTGTGTTTTCCATTTGATTCTGAAAATGATTGGGGTTGGACATTGATTGGCATACAGTTTCAAAAATTCATAAGCAAACGTAAAGGCTCATGGCTAGCTGATAATTGACTGTTTATTAAAGCATGAATTTGAATTGCAGTCTGTGAGCCAGGCCTGGGAAACAGTTAACCATGGAGAAGGTAGCCAAACTGAGCACAGGATCACAACTCAGTGTAGCTCCTTGACCTTCTGCTGTTCAGTGAGCATCTCAGGGTGTCTGTTATATGGGAAAGAGGTATTTGCAAATCTGGGAATTCAAGAAAAGGTCAGGATTTAGTCCACATGAATTTCATGTACCTAAAGAGAGACACAGTGCAGTGTATGAGATTAGAGCTGCCATCTAAGAAAAAAAATTGTAGTTTGAGTCCAATAAAGTTAATTGCTAAAAACAAAAAAATTCAACTCTTTTTAGAGCATTATAACATAATCCAGAGTCTCGATGACATAATATTCACAATATCCAAGGTATAATCCAAACTTACCCAGCATACAATGAACCAAGAAAATGTAAAACATTGTCAAGTGAAAAAAACATCTATCAGTGGAGACCAACCCCAAGATGATCCAGATGTTGGAGTTAGCAGCTAAGAATTTTAAAGCAGCTATTGTAATTATGCTCAAGGATGTAAAGGAAACATGCCTGCCATAAATGAAAAGATAGGAAAACTCAGAGAGAAATAGAAACTCTAAAAAACGTATCCAATGGAAATTATAGAACTAAAATTTTCTATATCTGAAATTGAAAACCATCACTGGATAGGTTTAGTGGCAGAATACAGAGTTGACACAGGGAAGAATCCGGGTATTCAAAGATAGATTGATAGAAATTATCTGACCTAACTAATCTCTGAAATATAAACAAAGCATTGGAGATTTGTGATATAATATCAAAAAATATAACAAGTATGTATTTAGTGTTTGAGTATGAAAGGAGAGGGGGAATAGAATATATTAAAAATGTGAAGAAACAACATTTGTCCTATATGGAGAAATGTTTAACCAAAATATTTCCCCAATATGACAAAACATATAATTTTACAAATTCAAAAAATATCAGTGAACCCCCATCATTATAAATACAAAGAAAACCATGTGTTGGCACAAACTTATACTGGATAGTACCCCCTTGAAATTCATGTCCTTCCTGGAACCTCAGAATGTGACCCTATATGGAAATAGGGTCTTTGAAGATGCAATCAAGTTAAAATGAGGTCATATTGTATTATAATGAGCCTTAACCCAATTCTATAGTATCTTAAAAATTTTTAGACTCTTGGATCTTTTGGGAATGTATATCAAGGAAATCATTAGTGGTGCACATAAAAATATTTTAATATTTTTGCATAATATCTTCAAATAATTGGAATATGTTTATATATATATGCATAATATGTATTTATGTATGATATGTGCCGGTTAAATACACTGAAATCCTTTTGATAGAATGCTAAGCAGAATGCTAACCACCTAAGAAGGTATAAATTATCAAAAGTACCTTTTTTTCTCAGTGACAATTAGAGAGTTTTATTTGCCTTCTACACCTTAAAAATTTTTCATATTTTCTACAATAGCATGAAAAAATAGAAATGGCATTTTTAGCAGCTTTATTTTGGTAGAAATGGCATGCAGAAGAGTTCATGCATTTAAAATGTACACTTTGATTCATTTTGACATATGTATAATTTCATGAAACCATTATATATACAATCAAGGTAGTGAACTGTGCGTCACCTGTAGAGACGTCATTGAGTCTCTTTGCAATTCCACTTTTCTGCCCTCCCTGGCCTCTCCATGTTTTCCAAGCAAACACATGTCTGACTTCATAGGAAATTAGTTTATATTTTCTAGAATTTTATATAAATGGAATCTTAAAGTATGGGCTCTTTTTTTTTATTAGACTTCCTTCAATTAGCACATGGTTATTTGAGATTCATCCCTGTCGGTTTGTGAACCGATAATTCATTTTCCTCCCACTTTTTTTTTATTTTGCTGAGCAGTATTTCATCTTCTGGACATGTATAGCATCATTAACCTGTCAGTGGACGTATAGGTTGGTCCCAGGTTTTAGTTTTTGCAAATGAATTTACCTTGGACATTTTGTGAAACACTTTTTGTTGTTTTTCATGCCTTTGTGTAAATCCATATTTCCACCTAATATTTTTTTTCTTCATCTGAACAACATCCTTTAACATGAGTGAGTCTTCCGTAGTGAGTCTGACAGTGATGAATTCTTTCAGCTCTTGCATATATTAAAAAAAGTGTATATTTTACCTTACTTTTGGAGAGATGTTTTCACTTGGTATTAAATTCTAGGTCACAGAGGTTGTTTTTGTTTATTTGTTTATTTCTTTTAGTACATCAAGGAGGTCACCCTGATGTCTTCTCACTTGCTTTATTTCTGATGGAAAATCTGTTGTCATCCTTCATGTAGGTCCTCTGTCCTCTGTATGCAGCTAGTGTCATGTCTCTGGCTGCCTTTTCTCTTTATCATTCTTTTGAATGGTTTGATTATGACATGCTTTGGTGCAGATTTATTCATGTGCTTGCAGTTTGTTGATGTTGTTGGATTGGTGGGTTTTTAGCTTTCGTTAAATTTTGAAAACAATCATTTTATTGTTCAAATAGGTTTTCTATCACCCTTTCTCTCTTTTCTCCCTTAAGGACTCCAATCCCATATTTATTAGATTGCTTGAAGTTGTCCCACGACTCACTGATGATCTTTTTTAATTTTTTAAATTCCTCTTTGCCCTGTGTTTCCTTTTGGGTAGTTTCTCTTGCTATGTCTTCAAGTGCACTGATATTTTTCAGTGCTCAACTGCAGTGGGTAAACCCCATGGATTATGGAGTTTTCCAGCCTGGCTAGTGAGAGCAAGAACTATGCCTGACTCAGCATGTGCGGGGTTCTGTTCTCTATTAGCCTTTGGGGATGGTTCCTCGCCTGGCCTTGGGTAGCATTGCTCACCGTCACGGTTGAGCGCTGAAGGAAAGCCCTCGGTGGAGCTCTGACGTTCTCACTCTATGCATCTCTCTCAGCTCCAACTGCCTTGGTCTCCTGGGCCTCTCAGCTCTGTCTGCCCAGCACAGAGAGTCCGCTGGATTCTGCTGGGCTCTTCTTCAGCCTTCAAATGCCCAGAAGCCATTGACCCGAGGCAATCGTAGGGCTCACCTTATTTTCATCCAGTCACAGGGACATTTTCATTTGTTGCTGCTGTTTTGTAATTTTGTCTGACTGTTCGGTTGCTTTAGGTGGAGGGGGGGGATACATTTTGCCTTTATTACTCCATCTTGGGCAGAAGCAGTTCTCAACATGCAAAAAAAAAAATTATATCAGGAGAAACCACCTTTTGGAAGACAACAAATACCTTATGTGAGGCAAATGTTTTGCACGGAGAGGCGGGCAGTAGGAGATGATGAGAGAGGCTCCAGCTCAGGCATCTACAGGGCAGGTGTTAAGTTCGGCCTCTGCTGTGACTCTCAGCACGTTACTTCCCTTCCCTGGGCCTTTAATTCATAAGTGATAAGTAAGGATCAAAACATAGCTTCTAAAGGACTTTTAAATATATATTAATATAGTTGGGATTCAAAAATTAGTAATTTCCTACTTTTATCTTTACATAGAGACATCTGCAGCTTGTACATCAGTTCAAAGCGTGACTGAAAGCTGCAGTGCCCTGCATCAGCCAGGGTGCATGTAAGTCCAACTGAGGCCAGTCCTTTGTGGAAATGCCAGACCATAGAACTTACCGGTCTCCAAGTGGAGTAAGTGCTCATACTGAGATACACTTAAATTTCAGCCAATGGGGAGTTAAGCTAAAACCATTTTAACCACCGGGCTACCTTGGCAGGTCCAGAATGAAGACTCCATTTAGACGAGAGCGCCAGGGCGCCATTCGCCAGGATAACACAGGTGCGCTGGAGGACAAGGTGCTCCTGACCCGCAGGTTTCTCGCGTGCAAGCCGCTGCGTCTCACGCAGCGTGAACCCCGAGTCAGACAGCGAGCTCTGCTCCCCGTCGGCAAGCACCTCCACTGGCGGATTAATTTTAATCTTCAAGCGTATGTGATTGCAGATTTGTTCCTTTGCTTAGATAGTTTCTTTGTTATGAGCGGGGAGAGGAGAAATGGATACTGGCCTTTTTTTTTTTTTTTTCCAGCGAAGTATTATAACTTTTTCTCAATTTAAGAGTGTACAAAAAGAGTAGTCATTTCATGGAATTCATTCAGTATACAGCTGCAGTCTATAAATAGGAGGAAATATTGTCCTTTTATACTGCCTATAATTTATCTTGTTTTTCTCACGTGCAGCCCAGGTTAGCAGAAGAAAACAAGTTTAGTCCTGTGTGGTTTACCACTTAAAATACTGTGAGTTTTTAACAGTCCCGTTAGGTAAGGCACACTCCTTTTAAGAGAAAATGCTCAGTGTCAAGAGATTTCTGTCTTTCTCCAAGGCGGCAACTGTGTGCCTGGGGCTGAGAACGGTATTTGGGCAACCATGGGGGTGCAGGGAGTGGGGGGCCATGGTCACGTTATTCTCTCTCCACCCGGGCGTGCATTTCTCTGCTGACACAAGGGGTTGACATTTGGGTCTGGTAGCCCTGCGTGATGAACTTGGCCTGAGCTTGGGGCTCCATGGTGTTTGGAGCTCTTGCCTCTGTCTCCCCTCCAGCCCTGCTGCATGGCCTGCTCCCAGGCTGTGCTCCGTGTCCCCTCTGCCCTTGGGTACTTCCTCCCTGCCCTCCACACTCCCCGCCCTGAGCTGATGCTCTCCGTTCCAGAGCAGAGCCTGGAGCGAGGACATTGAGGAGGGGGAGGCATGCCTCTGACCATCTCACACTTTATTTTCCCTCAGGAAATGAACAGAACCTTCTATTTGCCCAGCGAGTTTTTCATTTCAGAGGTTCACAGTGATATTCTTTGGTTGTGGCTCTTTCTCCCTGCACAACCGGTGAGTCTTTCAGTCTGGAAACTCATGTCCTTGAGTTCTGGGGGATTTTCTCGATTTGTTTCCCTGATAAATTCCACTTTTTAATTTTTTCCCCTTCTCTTTTTTCTGTATATTTTATTATTTAAATGTTGGACATCCTGGACTGGCTTTCTAATTTCCTTAACTTTCTCTCACACATCACTTTTTTATACTTTTAATTTTGTAAGATTTTTTTTCAATTTTCTGTTTAAAAGCTTTTGTTGAGGTTTTCATTTCTGCTGTCAAGTTTGGAAATTCCAAAAGTCCTTCCTTCTTTCTTTTTTTTTCTTTCCTCCCTCCTTCCGTCTCTTTCTCTTTCCCTTCCTTCCTTCTTTCTTTTATCTTTCTCACTATTTAAGGTTCTTCTATAGTATCTCTTATTTTCTTCTTGGATGCACTATCCTTACTTACCTTTCTGAGACTATGAATCATTGCTTTGTTTACAGTTCTTCCTGCAAAGTCTCAGTTTCCTCTTAGGTGGGTTTTTGGTTCTTTATCCGTCGTATTTGCATCTTCTAGGTTCCATGCTTGTCTCCGGTTCTGGTAATCCTTGGAGACCACTCATGATGAGTGGGGAGACTGGATACTTTGTGCAAAGCTTTTCATCTCATGGAGTGAACCTCCTCTTGGGGGTTGCTGCAGTTGACACCCAAACGACCCCTTGTCTGTCTTCCATTTACCTGCTCACTTTGTAAGGTGCACATCTATCACACCCCTCCTTTGTGGAATGTCTTTTTCTCCCAGGGCCAAGCAGGGCTGTCCATGGAGTGGCCAGCGGGTGGAATTCAGCTGTTACGGTGTTATTTGATTTTACTTTTCCAA